TGTGTATTAGCTCCTCTTCTGTGTTTTCCCTCTCTACTACTACTCTGTCTAGTTTTAGCTTATTGAGTGGTTTTTCTTATAGGCTAGTGATCATTTTTCTTTGGTTGCTTACTATTATCGCATGTCTTCTTTCAATATGTTCTTGTATTTCTTTTTTCTCTGCTTTTCTCTTTTTTGATTGCCATGTTTTGTAAAGGCTTTTCCACCATATCTCAAGCTCTCTTCTATCATTCGTTTCTTCTTGGCAATCTTGTGTACCTGCTTCAGACTGATCTTCTATATATTTGTCTTTTAATACTGCTAGCCATTCTCTTGCTTCCTTGCTTACCTCCTCTTCATATGAGTTTGTTGTATTCTCGAAATGTAAAGGTTTTTTGAGCTTACGACACCATTTTCCTGTTACTCTTATATCTTTCCTCAAATCTTTCAACTTCTCATTTTCAATTTGGTGGTCTTGAAGCTTAGGTATCTTTTCTTTTTTAGGTAGTGTACTTTTTGCCACTTTTTGAATTGCTCTTTGTATTTTTTTCCAGGTTTTATCGAGGTCTATATATTTTTTTTGTAAGTTTGTTATACTGGGTAGTTGTTGTTGTTCTCTTCCTTTTTCTTTATTTCTGAAGAGTTTCTTTAATTCTTTTTCAAGTTTTTCTTTATAATTGTTCCAATCATTTTTTTAAGATCTATACAAACCCTGGCTCGATCTTTTTTACGAAGTCTTGCAAAAGGTACTTTTCTCTCGTATAATCCTGTTTCTATTTTAGCTAAAAGTAACTTGTGATCACTTGCTGTTATATGCTCAGCTTCATATGCTTTGCTTGTGATTATACTTCTGCTCCAGCCTTGAGATACCCAGATATAATCGATTTTTATTTTACTACCTCTGCCTGCCCAAGTTGTTATGTGTTTCTAAGGGTTCGCTATCTTGAGTGTATCAACTAGATTTTTCTTTTCTATAAGATCTATAATTTGTTTTTTCTTGTTTTTTTGGTATTCATGATAGCACTTTTCCTTTTTCTTTATTTGGTTTTCTTCTATTGCTAGAGTGTCTATGTTAAAATCTTCCAAAATTATGACACTGATTGGTTTGTGCTCTTGAGTATCTAATCTTTCTTTTAGAT